ACCATAGTTGATTATTGATTAACATTTTACTATGGCAGTATTTCCCCCCATTTTCGACTCATATTATATACAATTTCAAAAAATCGATTAATAATTATTTTCCTATGCGCCATCTTTAACTATCCCAATTGACTGTCTAAGATTTATAATGTATCCCTGTGTTGTTGGTAAAGGCATGGTAAAGAACGTGGTGCAGCAATAAGATCGTCCCCGCATCGATTCAGAACATCATCTGACACCCTCATTCAAACTCTAATAAAACAAATCAAACTTTGCCGATTGTGATTCGGGGGAACATATTGCCATGGTGTTCAGTGTTGGTGTTTACAGCCTTGAGGTAATTAAACCCTTTAACGGGTTTCTTATCAACAGCTGGAGACTTCAAAACTTTGAATGACAACTGTATATAATTTACAAGATTTTGTTAAAAGAAGTCCACTTCTGATGAAGATCATATCTTTACTCCGAGTGAAGATTAAACTCAAAAATTCTCTGCAATTCAGTATCATTAGTTCGGATGACCATCTCAGACCGTTGTTCATAACGTGTCCAGTTCTAAATGCTCCCAGATTTTTCTTTTCATTTACGATATTCAAAATGCGGAGGCTTCTAAAATATAAATTTAGGCATCACCACAACATAAAAATATGTCTACATTGTTTTCTTTTCTCGCGAGAACTTTTACCCTTGGTTTCATGCACTAGACATATTTAATTCATTTGCAGTAAATTGCTTCTGTCAAAACATTCAAAAGAGCAAGATGTCAATTGCTTAACCATATTCCGTGCGGGACAGTCGTTACTCTAAAGAGAGGCTCTTTAAAGCACAAATTACTTACGATAGAAAGAGCAAACAAGAACTTCATATGCGATTCTCCAAATGAACGACAGAACTTTAACCAATAAAATGTACGTTCCCGCTAAGAAATCTTAATTTAAAGAACCTATTTTTTATTTACAGAAAAAAAATTTCAGAACAATACATGAATATCTAGATTGATAATCAAAAAAAGGTAACGAATTTTGATATGGGAAAAAAGGGTTATTCACATCTTATGAATATGCATAGATATACAGATATGGTTCAATGAAGAAGTTATCAAACGTTATGCTTTTTAGGCAGTGAAAGAAAGTGAAACATTCGTGAAGGGGCAAAAATATGATAAGATTTTAAAAGCATCATCTACGAGACATCCCGTCAAAATCATTCTATTTTATCAAAGCTCGAAATCTTTTGTTTGAAATGCAAATACCATTGGAAAGCTTTTGAAGGTATACATAAATCTCGAGTTTATTCGTAATTGACGCGTGCTTTGGTGGAGGGAGATGTTCGTCATACCAAAAACAACAGAGCAGATCTGCACCTGTTGCTTTCCAAAATAATAATGTCTTACAAACTTTATAAGAAGATAAACTGATATACCTTAGATTGAATTTAAAATCGTGTTTGAAATAAATAAATAAATAAATGAACGGAAAGTTTTTACGCAGACTATATTCAACTGAAGGGTTATTAGAGCAATGTTATATATAAACATGTATAATACTCTGCAATATTGCATAGTCAAGTATATATTTTGAAAAAAAAAACCAGAAAAGACAGAAAAAAGAAAGAAAAATAGACATTTATAATTTTCATCAATAGACAATCATTCATACGTCATAAAGACCATAAGCAAATAAATGTTATTATAGCAAGTGATAAACATTGCTGAGACATCCAAACGGACGATCGTATCAGATTGTGCCATTTTAATAAAGTTGCATTACTGACTGACGAAGAGATCTTTTTTTTTTATTTTGTCCATCATAAAATTCCAAATTAGCATCAGGAACAATTACAGTGCTCCGTCCATTTGCCGGTTGCAGACAGCCCGGCGCTTGGAAACCGCCAGTGGATTGAAATAAAGCCCCATGTCTTTTTATAGTTCTGTAATTTTACGCCAATTTTTAGAAGTCTTGTTTTCTCTAATGCAACACAATCCAAACAAGATACGATAATTAGATGTGTATTTTCTTATCTTTTCCCCAGAAGAAATTCCATTATTAAAGGAGCATATATACGGTTATCTATACACATGTAGGAGTTTCACTTTTATATACCCTCCTCTTTAATTCTTGAATCAATTTGACAAGTATGATTTGTATGCTTTTGCATAATCCCTCTGTATCCGTTAGAACTCCATAAAATGGTGGAGTCTAAAGTCTCAAAGGTGCTTGCTTTGTAAGATTAAAGCTTTAGAGGTTGTTTTAACTCCACGTACCATATAAAGACCACAAAGATGCTAGGAAAACACCCCTAAGACAATGCAACAGCTGAAAATCCGCATCAATAAAGCTGCTGTTGATCGCTACATGTGATTGTACAGAATTTGACAGGTGAAGTTCTTTCCGCATTAATTTTTTATGAAAAAAAAGATGAAATAAAAGTCTAGTTCGAAATTGTTCCTCTGTGCGAAAACCCCAGTTTTATAACATATCTGAAGTGTAATAAAAGTAATTGTCTTTCTCATGAAAACAAAAACATAAACAAATCTTGTTATTTTTCAGTAATAATATATCAGAAAGATATACAAATAAAACTGAATGCAGAGTTACTAATTCATTTCCGGCATATTTATACCTTGTTTGGAACAGTCACCGGAAGAGGGACATTGATACCCAGGACCCACTAGTCCGGAAGGCCAATGACCCTCACCCAGCGTGTCTCAAGGTTTACGTTAAGGAGCATCATTGATTCGGAGAAACAATGGAGACCATTATCAAGTTGTACATAAGTTTTCTGGCGACATTTTGATTGTTTTACTGACGTATATATATGTTAAGAATAGCTGTCACGTGACTTCCTGTAACAGTTTCTGTCCTCTTTTTTATTTAAATTTTATATTTATAATAAGGCTAAAGAAAAAACTGTTTATATCATGGTTTAAAGGAGGTTCGATCCTGAGCATTTGAGCAGATTTTTGTCTGTACTTCTATTTCCAAAATTCTGCATCATGTTTTAGTTCTTACAATATATTTGGATTCCGCCAATTAAACTATATTCAATTAAAAACCCACGATTAAATTCCCTATATACAAAAAGCAATTAGTGAGGAACTATATTTTGTGGCGGAAGCTTTTCAGAAGAAAATGATCAATTTTTTTTTCTTCCGAAGTATTTCAGCGCTGTTTGGATTCCTATTTTGTCACACAGTTATTTTGTGCAGTGGGATATCTTTTGTTGGTCTCGAATTATAAATTAATTATTATCAATTTTATCATCATATTGACAAAGATAGCAAATGCGAAAGTTCAGAAAAAAAAATAATCCAAAATTTAGCTTAGAATTAACACTTTTTTAGTAATATTTACTATCTAGTAATATTTACAAAATTTACATAATAGACCCCCACTTTTAATCTCTTTTCCAAGTATATAACTTTGACCATTTTCCTTAAATTCAATAAAATCTTAAGACTTTAATATAATTTCAATGTTTCAATAATTGCTTATTAGATTTTTAATGCCAAAAAATTGACATTTTGTGAGTGCAGAGAGGTCAAATAATTGATTATGCGAAGTCATTTGAAACTTTTTCTTTGTCACAATTTTTTATGTATCTATTCAAAATAAAATAAAATAAGACTGATTTTTTGTCCATTGATAAATTTTGATAAAAAGTATTGGATGAAAAACTTCGAAAAAATGATTTGTGTAGGATGCAATTATAGTGCAAAAAGGTCATATTAAATGCACAGAAGCATATTAACCCCCATTTTTTTTCTCTGTGTGTAGATACTAAAAATGTAATTGACAAAATTTTTAAAAGACTTATGAAAGCAGGATCTAACCTCCTTAAGAAGCGTGACTGCGTTTCAAAAAAAAAAAAAAAAAAAAAAAAAAATGGGTAAAATATCACGCCATATCCTTATCATCCTTTAAAACAGAAATTATATACATTTTGCTAATTATTTGCTTTATGCAATCAGTCAATGGTTTATTTCCCGATTTTAACTTTAAATAGTGCTTTTTCCTTCCAGATTACCATTGATCGGTGGTTGTTCTGGTATACATGTAGCTCATGTAAAGCTCACGAGGATGTGGATTTAAAATTGTTTTAAAAGGAGTCACATCTTTATGTAAACTTTTTTCCAATTAGATATATGACCAAAACAAAACAAAAACAAAACAAAACAAAAAAAAAAAAAAAAAAAAAAAAAAAAAAACCGACTTAAGGGAAGGAAAGTTTCTCGTTTGAAATTATATTTTTTTTTAATGAAAAAAAAAACTATTTGATTTTTTTGTTTCTTAAAAATGTTAAGGAAAAACAAATTAAAGGATTGATTAAGGAAACTTTGTACCGAGAAACTGATCAGGGATGTAGTGTCATTTTAAACATATGTTCACGTATTGATCATACGCATGTTGTTTTTTGTTATGGAAATATTCACAAATATGTTCCCAAGTTGTAAAACCTGTGTTGAATTTTCATATTCTATGGAATAAAAAATGAAGTTAACCACTTGAAAAAAAATCTGTTAAGCCTCGCCATTTTGCGTTAGAAAACAATATTATAGAAACCACACATAATTAGAATGTCCATAAATATCCCTAAGAACAGTGTAAGTTCATATTAACTATGATTTAAAGAAAAAAATACTCTCTTTGTTATTAAAAATTAATATTATTACAAATCTTATAATTCATGTGTACCATTAGAAATAAACCTTTGTAAGACGCGTTCATATTTTGTAAATTATGATAGATTAGCTACGATGCAAATCACAAACAACTTCATCAAAATTATAATACCTGGTGTGTTTTTGTGGATAGATAAACACTGAATTTACATGCCATTTGATACATGTAATTTACATCTTGAAATTAAGAGACAGTGCATGAAGTCAAAGCAAGAGCCACTCCTTTAGACCATTGAAAATCTCATTATACATGACAATCGATGCTTTTTTTTTCGTCTTTCCTTCTTTAATCTTTTTGAAATAATCACATAAATGACAGTTTTATTTTGGATTTCAACATTTTATTGAATTCTTGTTTTTGTATTTAAATGTATACAACGTCGTTTTACACAGCATACCCATCCTAAGTCAGAAAAAAATATTCATACATATTAGATGAATCTCAACACACATTTTTGAAAATGTGGAATGTGTTTTAAATTGCGCGCCATGCTGACATCATGAGTCACATGACAAGCAACTCACATTCGACTAAGTTATACAATTTTTTTCTACATAAAGATTTGGATTTCATGTAGATCCGTTATACGCTGCATCGCAGCAAAATCAAGATCAGGAAGATACAAAATAAACTTTTCATTAATTACAAAACATGTACAGACATCATAAGAAACTCTCAAAGATGCTATATTCAATAGCAACTCAAGCAACCACTTACATCAGATGATAATATCTATCATATTATTCATTAAATTATTTACAACTCTTGTTTTCCTATTCTAGCACTCGGGATTTAAATAGCTCATACAGAGGGATTTTTGCTTTTTGCAAAAATCACTCCTAATTTTTGATTATTTTGTACGCACACATGTATTTTTTCTTTGTACACTTAGGACTAGAAACGCAACATTTCTATGTCATGGATAAAAGACAGAGTAATTAAATACCTCATTTACAGAAGAACAAATAAATTAAGTATTTACACATACTGTACTTTCATGCTATTATCTCCAATGAGAACAGAAGATGTTGAAGTCAAATAAAATATTATAAATCATATTGAGCAAACAACAAGAAAAGTATGCTGCGTTTCATGAAAATCAAAAATGAGATTCCAAGTCATATTTGAAGGATGGACATAAATTTGTTAATAAACAATCACTAAATCATAAAAAGCACACCTTTGGCTAATTAGCATCCCCTCTTTAATAAATGTCTGGATAATTCTAGTAAAATATCCGAATATATCTAGTCACAAGGGGAGCACCCAGTGTTAGTAAAGCACCGACTCAAGTTACAACGAGGACAGAAAAACGTCCGTTTTCTCACCATCATTGACAATAGGGTGTTTCGTTTTAAATAAAAAACAAGTCCACAAGCACACATATATAAATGTCAAAGTGGAGGAGTGCGTTCTGCGAGTCGGACCCCTGCATTCTGAACGACCCGCAGGTGGATAGATTTACCCAAAACAGTTCCTCCAAGCCACCGCTTTTCTGTCATGTTGCTTCTTGGCTTTCGGTTTTATTTCACACCGATAGTTATCGATGAATAGACTTGTGAAATTTGAAACTTCAAATGTCCCATTTTAGCGTCGCGGCTGCCCGTGACTTATAAATATATCCCTATTAGGAATATGGTTTTTTCGTGACAAACGAGTTTCTTTCTGCAAATGGGACGTTCACACGCATCAATTTCACCTTTGCTGTCTGTTTCTTTATTTCTAAGTCGCTAATCGCGCATGCGTAGGACTGGCTTATTTGTCTGGCAATTGTCGCTCTGACTCGTCCATACAACTCCAGGAAGCTTTGGATACTCTTCTTGCCGGCACATTGAACTTGTTAGTCTATAAATAGCACACAAAACGTCACATAACCAGCAAAAATCTTAGCACGTCTTGTTCAGCCCTTTCCAGTGCACATGTCATTTCATTAATTCTTATCTCGTCAATTTTCATTGTTCTGTAACAAACATTAAGTTGACTACGGAATAAAAATATTCAAGACAGATGGTAGAGAATGACTATGCCATGGCTCCGATCATATTTGAACCGGCAGAAAGGTTAAGACCGGAAGGGAATCCACCTGCAGTTGTTGTGGAGAGATTCAGACCGGAAGGAAGTCCCGAATTGTAGTTACTGGATATACTGGAGAATGATGATGACATGGATGATGGGAAGTTATTGTATGCGCTGGAGAATCCCGAGTGGCCAAGGCCCGAGGAGCCCTGCATGTGCGATGATCCATGGGCAAAGTACCCTCCGCCAATAGAAGATCCGCCACCCATGTAGGTCGGCATTGGTGCGTGCATGGCATTAAGATTTGGTGGAAAACCTCCGAAGGTTTTATCCAAGCTTGGCTTCAGTAAATCGGACATAATCATTCCTTTCTTGTTCTTCTTGCTTTTAGTTGACATTTTCCTATTTCGGGTTTGAATTCCGTCTTTTTTCATTGTAAGAGGGCGATTGACCTAAAAATAAAATATAGAAAAACATTATTACGTGTGGGATTTTGACAAAAGTCGAAAATTGCAACAAACAATTAACGTTATGTGGCATGGTTTGTGTTCTGTGCCAGAGCCAATTGTTAGTCAGTCTGTTTCTGTGAGTTATAGGCCTGACATTTTGACAGTTTCTTTTACAAGCTTCGGTACGAGACACGGCTTACACTCCCGAGCAATCATCAGAAAAAGGCATGGAAAACAATTCCAAAAACATAGCTCCGATTCTACAACAACTAAATTTAAACCACACTCATTGTTTCCCATAGAAATGTCATCTGAATGAATAATTACGTGTAAATGATATCTAATCGAACTGAACTAATTCACACCATATTGACAACTCTTGGCCACGGATCAATTTCATTTTAGCAAAATGTGGAAGTAAAAATTTTCATGAATGGTTGCTTCTGCGTAAACCTGTATTCAATTTTCCCATAACCCCATCCCCATCGTTTTTCAGTCTACATAACTATCTAGGAGAGGTAGTAATTGCAGAGGACAGAATCCTCATTAGAATTTTGTGACATCTAAAGGTGCCACAATTTCTCGTCTGCAAACCCGTGTGACGACTAGAGGATCATGCTTCTGCAACTTTTGGATACGTATCCCATTGACAAGGTGTAATAGCCTCTGTCAGCCGCATTTGTCGCAAGACCTTCAGCCATTGTCCATAGTTATTAGCCCTACCAAGTCACTAATCGCCGTGTAAACCCAGGTGCACTCACGCGGAAGGATATTTCAATAGGAGTTACGCGGTCTGGTGTTTCGGAGCTTGTTCCGAGGTTGTTCGGGGTTGCTCGTGAGAGCACGTCTACGCTGAGAGAGTTACCTCTCGATAATTAGCTTTGTCGCTCATCACCTACATTTGGTGGTCACAGAAACGTGTGGCCTTTCTTGAAATAAGCTAATGCTGTTGGCAGTCACCATTGTTGAGAGACTGTACCCCATGGTGGGATAATTCTCCTTGTAACAAATGTGTTTATGTCAAAGTGAACAACCACAGTGGTACAAAAGAACATCAGCGTGTCCATGAAATAAGCATCTAGCATTCATGTACGTAATAATTCCTAACAAATCGCTAGATAATCAATATTAGGGTTTCCTTTGATTTTTTCCCTTAATTTTCAGCATTTTACCAAGTTTATCGGGACACTTAATGTAACTCTAAAAAGAAAACGAAGCAACTTTGATACACAATCGTTAGAGGGATTTATTTTGATGGGGGATAAACGACAGGTAAGCAATTAATGAAGATGAGCTGTTTAATTACGATTAAGTGATACATTGCGTAGCAGTCATTCAAGCCCTGAAGACAACTCAGAGAGTAAAAATGTCAGAGAACTGAAGAAATATATTAGTTTCATGGGATTAGGCAAGCACCGTTGGGAAGCTGAAACTATATGTATAATTGAAATTGAAAACATCAAATGGACCTTAAATTGTTTGAGCAAAATGATCTAGTCTAAGAATTTTATAATTCTTATCTGTAGGCTAAAACAATGTTATTAAATGAGCTTGCTAGAATGATTTTGAAGAGGTTTTCAATCATGGAAAATTACTTAATCTGTACTGACAAGCAATGAACAAATTTCTCAATTGGTGTTTCAGGGCAAAAGAAGAAAAAAACCATTGATTTAATGAACATCTAGAGAGACAGTCTGTATTGACGCATGCAGAGAATACCAGTGTTGAAATTTTGATGAGTTGATGATCAGAATTCCTCGTCAAAACTTAAAATTGATCATGACAATTTGAAAACAGAGTTTGAGATTTCAATCATTGTCTTTTGTCTTTCGACGCCACGTGAAGCGAGCAAAAGGGGGCGCTTTTTATTCAGCAACCAACTGCCACAGAATCAAGGCGTGTAATTCTGTGTCAAATCGTTTGTCGCCATTTGCCTTCTTTCAGTCTACATAATTTTCTACTCTAATCCCAGAACCTTGGCCGGTGGGCCGTTTTTATCTCGGATCCATCTAACTTTTAAATTTCTTTAACCGTACAAAGCCGTGATTTGTTGTGTGTAGTGTTTTCACTGAGAGATAAGGGTGATCTTGTTGTTGGAAGTTATCAAGAAAATCGAATTGTACTTTTATGAACATTACATCACAATTCCCCAACACGACAAAACAACATTTTAAAAATCATTGGTGTATGACTTTTGATTTGAAACTGTGTTGTTGAAATGGTAAGAAAAATTAAAACGGTCTTAAACAGGTGTGCCATGATGAACAATCAATAAGTCAGTCAAAAGAAAACTCGTTAGATATGCCTTCATTTTATGGCTAAATGAATTTATAGAAAAGTAATTTTTTTAATATTCTAAAATTCGGAAAGTACTGATCATAAATAATAACTATTCCATGCACTGGTACATAGAGAATCTGAGAAGAAATGAATCTAATGACAAAAAAATAATAATAAATAATTCATTAAAAAATAAAACCCGTAGTGGAAATGTAAAGTTTTTAAAGTACCACATAATTGTGAAAAATTCGTGATGCCGTGTTCTGGTTTTTATGCATCTAATCAAAGGGCGTATTACCGCTCTCAACAAGAAAAGAAGAGAGTTTCCGAGTGACAAGCACTCTTCGATGTGCAGAGTTACAAAAGTGACAAAGACGATTAGGAACTCGAGAAGTTGGTAGGAGATGGGGGAGAGTAATTTAATCAGGCGTGAAAAGATGGTGGATGTCTCCAACGAGTCTACTCTACTGTCCTACCGACTCCTGTGTTAGTCTTTTGATCTATTTTTGTCTCTTAAAGGTATATATTTATATGAATAGCGGGTATGATGGGCTTGCAAACTTTCCCTACCGCGCTAGGTGGTGATTTCGGTAGTATATGATGCTTTTACGCGGGTCATACCTTGTAATTAAATGTTTTTATCCACAAGACTTCAGTTTGAATAATAATTCTTATGAATAAAATGACTATGACTACCCCCAGTCGTCGCTTTTTAAAAAATCAAAAACGGTAAAAACAGGGATGAAAGGTATACCCTTGGTGTAGAGGGTCCGTTAACGTTTTGTGTAATTTAATAAATCAGTTCGGAAACTTTCTTGTTTTGTGCAAAAAAACATATAACCAATATTAAATTTCACCTGCGACCCCGAAATGCATTCCAAATGATCGGTTTAAATGCCCACCCAATAACAAGTACACCATCACTGCAACAAAGAACATTTTTGTGCATAAGTATAGTGATCAGTGATAATACCGGGAAACAATAAGAAACAAAACCGGAAACAGACAGAAAGAGAAACTACAGCTGATGGCCAAGTCACACTTCCTTTGGTCAGAGAGGGCCACTTGAGGTTTAGAGGTAGCTTTGCGGGTTTAACAAGAGCGGGAAAGGGGGACACTTATTTTCTCACTGGAGTCAGTATTGATATACCGTGGTTACAAAATAAAACTTTCGAAAGATCAACCCATATAGGAACATAGTTTTACAACGAATTAACACCGATAAGTTATCGATTTGTTTAATTATTTAAGGTACATCATCACCGGGTCGTAGCAATAGAAACGAAGGAATTTAGTTGGTTGGGTAATGGAGTTAAAAATTAAGAGCAGAAGCAAATTAGAGAATTCAAGACATTATTTGCTAAGTCATCGGAAACTGTGTTAAAACAACTGAGGGAGAAAGAACCATGAATATATACAACCGACTGATTGTTTGAAAGGAGATTTGAATAGAATTTGAGGTTAATTTGATGGCCTGAGTATTTTCTGCAAATCTGTTCTCCGTGATTTGTGAAAGTTAATCGATATCGTTTTTACCTGTGCAGGATGCAACAGCCAGAAGACCGCTTTAATAAACTGCAGTTTGTGGAATCAATTAAAGGATATAGTTACGTTTTGTTGCTCACAATTATGACAGCAAAATGTTGATTTACAATTTTGAAAGGTAGAATAAATCTGTGTTTTTGCTTGAACAAATCTTCGTGTTGTTTTGTTTTTGTCCTACCGTCCTTCAATGGTAGATTTTGAAGGTCAAAAATGTTACCACAAGAGTTAATGGTTCATATACCAGATACAAGGCGGTTCTGAAATTATTCATGTAAAGTCTATCTGTGTTTGTATAATTGATGTTTCATAAAAACCAATGTCATTAAAAATTATGAAACACTTAAATATCCACATTTTGGCCAAGTCTACCCAGCACAGCTAGGCACTTAGTGAACGAAGCAGAGGACGATTCATTTAGCCTTCGTTATTAGTTGACAAGGAAATTGCTGATCAAACCCCAAGGCAGGGAGAAAAGACTTTTTGTTCATATTTTAAAGTTTGGCCCACATAAAAGAATTTATAAAGTTTCTCCGCGTAAAATAAACGACTCCCCCTCCGTTTCACCAATTTAATCGAACCGACTGACGACAAATGGACTTATCGTCAGCCGAGAAAGCCCGGTACTTGGTACCCCCGAGGACTGAAGAAACGTCTCTCCATGCCCCGCTGAATTCCATTTGTATTTACTTTCATCTTAATGATATTGAAAAAATACTTCTTCTAAATAGTGCATTAGGGGCCAAAAAATGAGGATATCGTGAAATTAATTCAATATAAATTTATTGTCGATTTCCTTTGCTTTCGCGTCAAAAATCAATAAAAAGAATTTTTATCACCCTCACGAGGTTGAGTTTAATTTCATTAATTTGTTTAAAAATTGATATATTCCATATGCTGACAAGAATGTCATGTTCAGATTAGGTTTTGATAATGTTTTCAGTATATCCCGAGGGGATCGGATTTGTTAAACACATGTTCAACAGGTTCGGGTATGTTTCATGTCAAAAATGTATTAAAACATCAAATACGTGTCTGTCTATTCAACTCCCTACCCCGGGTCCCGAAAATTTACGACACCCATTTACGACTACAGTAAATGAAACTAGATTTTGTTTACATCAGGTTTAGAGATATCCATCGCATCCCAAAGGCAGAAAACCCTTAAGGCAACACACATGAAAAAATTCCTATTGTCTTTTTAAAAGTTTGTAAATTCTTGTATGCCATTTAAACAAATGTTTTCGCAAGTTCTTTGTTTTTGAAAGTATTTTTTCGCCTTAAAATGCATTCTTAAAATTACATAGCTGAAAGTATTTCTTTGAAGTTCCTCCACACCCGCTTTAACCAACCACAAGATGGAAGTGTAAGCCATTCTCAAAATAATAATAATTATTATTATTAATAAAATTAATGGGTTTCCAAATTCCAAGTTTTTGCAAAAAGTGAAAATAAATATAAACTTACATTATGGAGTTTGTAGTAGAGACCACATGCGTTACAGACGGGGTCGCCATTTCCATTTCGTCGCCACAAAGTTGTGGTGTTGGTGCCGCAGTTAGCACAGCTTGTGCCCGCTCTTCTGGCAGCAGACTGAAAAAAATAAAAAAAAAAAAATACATAATAAAATAAATCCGGGTACAAATCCGTTATTTTTCAAGTTTTATAATAACATTAAGATTTAAGATGCTGGTGAAAATCCTTTAATTCTCAGTGAAACAGAGTAGAACAGCAAAATATAGTTAAGTAGTGACGAGAAAATAATCGCTTGCGCCTACGAGTTTTGGAAGATCTTATCAAGCTTTCACTCGTATCAGTTTGCTTTTACAGAAAATTCGGCGTGGTGATTATCTATCAACAGTTTATTATAACTGATTAACAATAAAAACAATTTATCTTCCCTTGTTTACATACAAGGATGATTCACTAAAATCGACGGCATCGATTTATTCACAGAAAATAACGAGATGGAAGGAGTTGAATTACTGACTGACAGCAAAAACATTGAGACGCAATGGAGAACCGAACTTATAAAACAGCCATTCCTCCGAGCACGGTTTTGATAGGAAAATTGTCTCAAATTAATAATATTTTATTCTTAATCATTTTACCCCGTGGGTGCTTTTCACCGCATAGCACAGAAAGATACTATTGTGTTCATTTTCGAGCGAAATTCAATGTGTTGTAATTAGGTTGTAGTTCAGATGTAGAATTTTTGGTGCCTGATTGGGTTCTAAATACTAGCGTGCAGAAACCTGATCCGGTGCTTAGTGGGGTAGGGCCAGCAGTAAAGAGGCTAAGGTGACAAGCATGCCTTTGTTTCAAATAGGAAGGTTTTCGTAAGCTTCTATAGAGGAAACACTATTCATTTCATTCGAATGACAAATTCCCACCGAAAGGTAGAATGCAAAATGTAGGGCGTTTGACCTTTGCGTGGCCTTGCATGTACAAGTTTCCTCTTTTCGAAAAAGGGATTTACCTCAAATTTCTATCAATTTTTTTTAAATATGGGTATAAATTAAGTAATTCAGAATTAGACACCTCGTCCGTAAAATATTTCAGAGCACTTGCCGTATAATTGATTATATAAATTACATTAAAGTATTTGTCATAATGATAGGCCTACTGCAATAATGCGAACACTTGTTCTAGCATGGCTTTGCATATTATTTACTGCTTCAATAATTGAACTTGAAAATGTAAGCTCCTGTTTCGCACATAACAGGATCATTTTCCTTTGACATATGGTATTTATACCGTAAGCTTAGGATATAGAAACTGTGTTTAGAAAACAAAGAAGACAAGAAATTTATTTTTATCTTTTTTAAAGATTTATAAGTTGCTAGATTACATGTGTATAACCTCACAAGGTGATAATCAACGACTTATTATTTTGGTATATTTATCTTCAACTAATAAAGTATATCTGATTTTTTTCTTTTAATGATAAAATTATAAAAACGTCGACAAGTTTCCTATCTGCGTTAAAACCCTTTCAACAAGACTATGCTATGGTAGATCCATGGGGAAGATTTTCAAGGGCGATAATTATATATCTTTTGTTTCTGTCTTTAATTTGTTACTTTACAAAACCTCCAAAGAGGCCCACACTTGTTTAATTACAGTTAGACGGATGGATACTTGTTTTGTTTTTGACTTCTATTAAGGAGCAATATCCGAAAAATGATATCAATTTTATCTAAATTCATCATTTAACTGATCACATTCATTGGACACTGATAGCATGAGCAGGGCCACGGATACCTTTTTGCAGAAATCTGATTAGCAATATTTGATGACACAATCAAATGATCCGCGCCGATTTCCTGATAATGTGACGTCACGGCACGTGAAACGTATTGTTTCAAAATGTGTATGTTTTTCTGCAACTAAATGATAGCCGGCGAATCATAAAACCCGCTATCTAATGTTTTTCATCGAAATCGGAATTTAAACAGAGATAAGGCGATAATTCAACAGTACACGAAAATACAGTGATTATCTGATTGGGTCTTTTGTTCTTAAGTAAATCATTGCAATAACGAAGAACCTATTGAAATCTTTATCGGGCCATCAAACACCTTTGTCAGAATTAAATACAATTATAAATGTGTATAAAATGGCAGCAATGTCTCTCTTCTATCAAGTGGCATCCACTAAAATAGGGCTAGGATTCCGAACCATTGTTCTTAGAGGGGCCTTGTGTGTAATTAGTCAGCCCAGACCAATAAGGCCCTCACAGAAGGCTACTGGAACGATACAAAACAATACTATTCAATTGAACTCTTTCGTGACATTTGGACATTCTGAGATTTTTCAAAATCATTCTTCTTTGTTTTAAATGGGACTTTGTCTCTTAAGACGATCTACGCAGTCCAAACTAAACGTAAATTTTATTGATGATTGTTATAGATATTTTCAACATACTGTAGAAATTTCCCACAGAATCGTCCCTACCATCTCCTATCGGCCTGTGAATTTCGTTTATCATTTAGTGATATCTGCTAACGCGTTCTGAACTGTCAACGGCATTTTTTTTATCATGTAAAACTTCTTATAATATGTACTTCTATGACAAAAAATTACAAAAATTAAATTTTGGATTTTTTTTTTATGTTAACTTAGCTGTGAACATATTCAGATTATTTTAGTCAATAGCCTTAGCTTCTATTGGAAGAAAAATAAATATTTGTTTTAGATATTCATCATATCATTTTTTTTGGATTTATATTGTTTGCGGATACATTAAAAATTCTTTTTTGCACTCTCAACACAGAAGCTTTCAAAGGCTATTTCTTTTATTATTTATAACATTCATCTAGAAATTTTAAGGAGGAAATATTGCTTATAGTTTTGACACACTGAATAATTTTGCACAACGAATATTACTAACAGTGTCTTTTTTTAATCGTTCCGAATTTTTTCACAAATATAAAAGATTTCAGATTTCCTATCTTCGTCCTCACTGTTGCATGTACAAAATTTTAATTAAATGCAATAAAAAATTCAATCTCTATTACAAGATTTTGTACTATTAAGGTCCAAATATAAATGATCTTGAGTAATATATATTCTGACAAGTCGGCAGGTGCGTGTTTTGACGGTGGTATTTTTCCTCAATATTTATTTAATCGTTCTCGTTTTTGCATCATGCTGCATTCAATGTAAGGCCCTATATCGTAGGAGATGCAAGGCATCTGTATAAAAAGCATTAATGTTGTTCATGATAAATCATATTGCCACGTAAGATTAATTTTTCTGACATTGCTTGGTGCTATCAACCCCTAAAACGTTGTGGCCGTTCTCTAAGAAATAACATTCTTTATGGGTATTATTTCTACACGGCAGATGATGAAATATGTGCCATCATTAAGAAAACACTACATTCGTTCTTTTTTGACAACCTGCTAAAATCTATATTCAAACACTGAGTATATCCCGCTGTTCCGAAAATTGTTTCAAAATGCTCAGAACGGATTGTGTTGAAAAAAAAAATTATCTTTGGATATTTCTAATTATTTTTTAAGAGAATTCCTTTTCTATGTTCAGTAAGAAAAAGAAAATAAATTTATATGTATGCTATACAATTTTTCCTTCATAGAAAATATGCATTTTTTTAAAAATTAATTTAGAATTTAGAAGACATAAAATTTTACAACAGTTACCGAGGCGTGGTGAAAAGAAACCCGGCTTTTACGATATTTTAAAAAAACACCATTAATAAACTTTTTCTTATTGAAATTTTTCTCTAAATATATGGCTCAACTTTTCCCTGGTACAATAAGGTTTGGTGATATCCAAACCCTCATACGAGTCTTGTCACAAAGTCGGGTATAAATCACTCCGCTCGACAGCCCTTAAATGCCTTTTTATTTGACAAATTCTTGCTCCTCGACAAAATTACAGTCAATTAATATTATTAAAAATTCTCAACCATGACAGTTGCTCTATTTTAAAATGGGTTTTGATTTTTTACGATCAGTTTTTTGAAATGAATCATTTCAATATTTTCTTTAAAAACAGAGGAACATTTAAAATGTAAAATATGTTTTGGGGTATCTTTAATTTGCCATGTTCTTTCCGTTATTAAATGAAAGCCTTTTAGTGAAGTAAATCTGCGGGAGTGATTCTGCTTACAAAAAGAAAAGGAAGGAAAAGCTACATGGTCTGAATGAATCGTTTGGCTGGAACTATCAACACAGATTATCGCGTCAGGCGGTATCTAATGCTTCTACCAAAGTGATATATACATTCTCCTATGAATATGAGGGATTTCCTCTATCATTTCCATCTGAGATCAGCCTTGATAAGTCAACTCTTCGTAGAAGCGATTAAAAGGTTATATCAAAAGCGTGTACAGATTCTCTACATCGATAATCCACGATGCGCATCCGATAAGCATAAATTATTCTAGAGAGTTTACTGGATTCCTTATTGTTAGTTTAAAGTACAGAATTTATGCAATTTCTTGCATAATATCTGCATGAAGAGCGTTAATACTCACCAGTCGCCGCTTAGGTTTGATCAAGGGTCTATTTTGTCCGTTCATTTTATGGTACAGTCCACAGGCATTACACAAATAATGACCAGTCCCGTCCCGTCGCCATAAGGGCGTTGACGTGGCCCCACAGTTGACGCATTCTCTGCCCTCTGAAAGACAAAAATAAACTAATATTAGTTAAACAGGAGAACTCCACTCTTAAATAACATAACACAAACGACAAGTTCAATTAAATATTTATTCATAAATAATTCTCTAATTTTACAACTAATGGTCATGCTTTGGGTCGGATTTTTTTTTATGTCTATATATGAGATTGAAGAAAAACATATATATACATTAAGTGCCGAATTAATGTATTAATTTGATTTTCTATATAAGTAGCTCTAATGCTCCAATTACACTTCTAGACGAAGCTTTTCAGACGGTTTCAACGGAAGAAAGGTATTCTTCGGAGGGTTAGACAAAAATTTTCGTTAGAAAAGCAGAAACGTGTCGCCGGGGGCACTTGACTTTTAGCCTATTATTATTATTTTTGAAACAAGCTTTTTCGTAGAGTATCATTAACAGTTTTATAATCTATATGTCGTTGTTTGCGACCCTTATGACATATGCTGAACACGTATGTTTATTTTTAGTTCATAATTGCACAATTTCAGTTGAAGGCATATATACTCACCGGGGAGTGGAGACATTGCCCGCCCCTCCCCTGGTCATTGCCTGCCCTAACTCCCGGATGATTTATAAGATTATAATTACAATTTTCGTCCCTTAATCCCAAAAAACAATGTTTCTTGTAATCCCCAAATCGTCCCTAATTATGGTATTTTTTATTTACCTATCAGAATAAATAAGATTAGCGCTAGGACTGGTGTGTGTTGTGTAACAGCTATTCATGGCCCCTTTCGTATAATGGTTGTAAATCCCTGACGCGACCTATCTTTTTAGTTGGGCTTACATACCAGTTGGAATTTTTCTAGTCACATCGTAGTGTAAATCCCTCCCTCGCTGCGTTAATTGATGTTTCGAAAATCTCTGGGTGGATTAGTAGAATATTAAAAGTTAAAAAAAAAAAAAGATGTAAAAAAGGACCTTTTTCTTGTGTATATTTTATCTTCATGGATTTATTGTTTCATAAGAAGCTAGTTTTCTAACCTTGCGTATTTTGCCTTGCACTTCCGGGGAATGCCATGGATAACAGCTCGTCATGTCGCCCTCCCAATCCTAAAATTTTCAGATTTCCATTTTTTATTTGGTTTCTATTTTTTTCTCTAATTTTGAACTTCTAAAACCCCCTTCACCACACCCGAAAAAAATTCAAATTAAAAAAACAAACAAAACCCTTATATCCAGTGCAAGGACTAAATTTAAACGTGAAATATCTACACCCCAATCCACTACCTGATGTCTAAAATGCAAAAAGTTTAAATATACACCAAGTATGAGTGATTTTTTTTTATATTTTTGTGTTAAAAAATCCGACTCGCATATGATTGTCTCAATTCAATGTTTATCAGTAAAAAAAAAACTTTGCTCTAGCCTTTACAGGCAGATTTCACTATGTTTTTGTTGCGAAGAGTTTATTCAAATTTATTGAGCAAAAGAGCTCGTATTACCCTCATACATAATGCTTTTCAATGGTCTCTTCCTTGCGGACTTCAAGCTTATTATAATAAAAATCTATCAATTATTCCTCAGATTCACGATTTCAAAAAGCGTCAAATTTCAAAAAAATAAAAGTGAACGGGTCCTCGATTTATTATTAACGATGGTTTCCTAGCCATTGATTATTGAGTTCAACCAAGAATTACAGTGCATTTTTCCCCTTATAAAGGTGTATATTTCTTTCCTCTCTCTCTCTCTCTCTCTCTCTCTAACTGGGAACCACTTTCCTGATTGTTCCTCCTTAATTTTATTTTTCACGATTTGTTAATAGTTTACCACATTTATCCAATTAGATAGGAGAGGGCTTGCATGGTGTTTAAAGGAGGAGGCAATCGGGAAAACAAATAAGCGTTCACACGGTAGCTATACCAAAACACATGTAGACAGAAAATTAAGAAAACACACACAACTTGTTAAATTGAAAAGTGTCTTCAGATAGTTAACCCATATCTATTTCACTTAATTATATTTAATGCCGCTGAGAGAAGCTAAGATTATTAAGTAATTTGGGAAATATTTTTAACAAATTTATTGTATATGTAATATATTTAATTCAAGTAAAAAAAAAATATATAGAGTTAGATTTATGGAAAACCATCTTCTGTATTCCTGACCACTTTTACCATAAGAGGGTCTAGGGCGTATAGCCAGAAGAGAAAACCACGAACCCCCTGTTCTAGTGGGCTCATTTCCCGACCTGTTTCCGATATTTGCGGATATGTTAAGTAGGTCTGTCAAAATTTAAACATTTATTGAAATTTTACTTCTAAAAGGAAGCATAAAAAGTTTTTAGTTTTCTTATTTTACTATCTCATTAAGAATTATTTTGAATTTCATTGATTGTTGGGATAATGGTCAGTATTTTTTTTTTCTTCGAAAGAAATATTTTTAGCAAAAGTAAAAATTAGCGCATTAAAAAAAAAAAAATAAGGAGCTGGATGGAATATATTTTATTGTTTTATCAAAAGTGATTTATAAGAGAGAAAATTATCATTAAACTGCATGCTTTAGAAACACTTGACCATGCCGGAAAAGGTTAAACGATAGATGAAAAAGATAAGGGCCGAATGACGCGAGACCGACTTGAATCTTACAATCAGGTCCCAATAGAAACAAGTTGTAAAAACTTATCAACTACTGTACAAGAGCTACATCTTGACAGCAAAAATCTTAATGCTTTTGTTTTATTGTTCTTTCTGGGCAGTAAAAATAGAACACTCGGAATGGACCCGACAGAACAATGGGGATGGCGCGCAGTCATAGGGATTTTTTTTCTTTTTAAATTTTTTGAATATCAAGGTTGTGACCAAAACATTTTACATTTTCGGAAAATTTTTCAGATTTCGTGGAACGAAAACTTAATTGATACATTTCCTGTTTTAATGTACATCTTGCTTTTCAAGCATGGAAACAGATATGGCAACTTAGAAACAGTTAGCATCATATTTTTCCGTTCATCTGCTTAAAATGTTTACTTTTAACAATAATATGTACATCCGGAAAACTGGCCTGACGTCACCCTAGTATTTCCTAAGTATTTGCATTCTACTAGGATATTAAACCTCTCCAAATCTCTTTTGTCGATGGTGCTTTTTTTTTTTTTTTTTTTTTTGTAAGTGTTAGCATTCACGGCAAATCAACATTTCTAATTAATAAACAAAATTAATTACCTGCACTTGACCTCGCCTTGGTCCTGGGTCGTGATAATGCTGATGCTTTGAATACACTTGCTGCTGCAGGGTGAAAGCTTGGATACTCGGAACTATATGACGGATACGTGGGAATGGGGTGAGGTGTCGAATGAGTACTTGGGATGAAGGGGGAGATGCCATTCTCCAATGATTCCGAGGGTTTGGGGGGTTTGCTGTCTGGGGTGTATTCTGTTGAGGCTGTAGTCTCGGGTGTGGATCCATCTTTTGGAGGAGTGGGAGGGAAATTAAATGAACTGGAGGTAGGGGGGTGTACTGAGAGGGGTGCCGTGGGACTCTGGTGCTTGCTGTTGTATGGGCTCATGCCTGCCCATCCAGAATGGGCGTGAATGGGCTTTTCTGCCGCGACAAATGGGTGAAGTGCTGTTGGGAAATACGGCCTGCAGTTGCTACCAGGAACTGAAGCAAAACATAAACGTGAACATTAAGAAAATCGCTAACTATAATTGCTATCAGAATATCAATTTTCTCTCGTTTTCCCTATTTAATGTATATGATTATTAATTACACCCAATGTATATGAACCACTACGACTTGCAGAAAATTTCCGTTGGTGTGTAATTAATTGTTCTTGTATCGCAGTTTAGTCCTACGGAGACTGTTCACCACAGAGTCAGCGCTTACCATGGAAAATTAAGTACAATCGATATCCATTGTGTTTAGGGTAGCCTTAAAAGCAAGTGTGTGATAATTAAAACAAAAACTTAGTCTGGATTATAGATTTCTAAAGTTTTACAAATATTTATAATAAAAAAAAAAGAGGAATTTTGCTGAACATTATGAGGAAAATCTGCATTTAAAAACAAGAAGAGACATGATGAATGTTTTGATATGAAAGTTTTTGTACAGATTTCTGATGAATACGAATTCAAAATCCCACGCTCCTTTCTATGCATCTAAGATTTCAAGTTGTCGAGAGAAAAACAGAGCATTGTACAGTTCGTTGAAACTTGATTTGAGAATTTGGCGGAAAAGTACTTTTAAGCTTCGTTTGCTTGTAAAAAATTCCATGTTGTAAATTAGAACAAATTGTCTTTCGATTAAATTAACTAGCACATAATTACTTGCAGAAGCAGTCTGGTTTGTAAGAATGTAATACGAAACCGCGGCTACATGTCTAACATTTCCACGTATTGTAAAAGAGGGATTGGGAAAGAGGCTGGACAGGGTGCGACTAATTGACCAGTAGGGAGCCCAATGACAGGAGAGGGACAAGGATTATTCCTCATCAAGATCTCTACGGGGATCATTTGCTTATTTCATCCTCGTTTACAATCCTATAATACCAAAGTCGATCTGGAAAATGTAAGGGACTTGACATTGAAAACATCTGGAAGATGCAGTGAGGACCTGTTGCTTTTGACGGTTTATTTTCAAATAAATATTGTGTTAATGTGGGAAATCGGCATTTAATAGAAATCATTTCGAGGACTTGAGGTTCACGTTTCTTAAACAACTGAAGTAAATATTTTGTCTAGAATTACGTTTTTCTCGTTTTGATTACTTAGAGAAACAATTACTCTATTCAAGGCTACTTTTTTACAATTCGGGGCCTGTTAGACGCCAGTTCTAATATTCCTTGAAATGACTTAGCATGGGAAACTTAAAGCTAGGGAGGTAATAAAATTGTTCTAGAGTGTCGAAGATGCTTGATGGTTAAAAAGTATTCAACACCCATGTCATTTCCAATTAGAACGGGTCAATAAAATTAGTAATTCAACAAGCCTGTTAGAATTTCTCCTCTGTTTTTTTAATTAGCGAACATTTTTCACGAATATTTTTCTTCGGAGTGATAAAGCGCATACACCCCTCGCTGAAATTAATGTTGAAAATAAATGTATATTTCTTATCTCTGTTTTGAAAACCTAACTCACCGATAATCAAACGAGATAACATAATCAAGATTATCTCGGGGGTTTTTATTTCTCACGTTGAGATGCTGAATGTTTGAATTTTACAGAAGGGGTATTTTTCCAAGCTCTGAATTTTTGCCAAACTGCAGACAATCCTGTTATTTTCACAAAAGTGTATTTAATTCACACAAAATTTTATGCTCTACATCTGTACGTTTAGAAATTAGGAAAGTGAATGGATACTTTGAAAAAAAAAATGAGAAAATAACTGTTATACATTGTTGTTGGAATTTTAAGCATATATATACGTGTATTATTTTGGCAAGACAGTAATAATGACACATAATGCAAAGCGGTCGTTATTATAGATTTAAATTTCATATTACGACCGCTTCCCTCGACTCCGTGACGCCCGGTCAGGAATTTAGAGAATACCTTACAGTAACACTTTTTATTTCAGAATTTTGTTGAAAAGTGAAAAACACACAAGTACATGTGAAAAAGAGATTTGTGGAGAGAGAAAAATAATTTTAAAACCCGTCTGTCCTCCAACGGCTTAATGTCAGACTATACCTATATATAGTTGGGGAGACACTGATGTATATAGGGCATTGCTTCTGTTAAGGATAAGTGTGTGTCTATTTCCGATGGACAGAGAACAAGGAGAATTAGAAAACGATGTACTTAAAGACTGACACATGGTATAGAAATCGGCGGGCTGTATCGATGACATATAATCCACTTAATTAAGCAAAAATGAAAACACTAAAATTGGAACCGTGTGTTATTATCATAGAGTACGGGGAAGTTCTTCACGGGGTGTACATTACATGTTTATATGCATATCGATAGGGGCTAGAAAATTTAATCTTATTACCAATATAAAAAATAAGCTAAATTATTTCTTCTTAGTGAGTCACTAAGAGTATTTCGTATTAGTATAAGTGAAGACACAAAATCTATTTCATTAGACAAGAAAAATAAATGTTTGTGTAAAGTGGAATTTGTGCAGAGCTGCGTGGCTAATTTCTTTTCAGATGGACGACGATAAGACGAGACTTATTAACATGAATTTTCTCTACTGTTATTTAAAACTAGAGTCCCAGGACAATCCGCTAAAAATCTGGCAGCACAATGACCTAATATTATTATTATATATTTGTCGTGTACCGTAAGTATTTTAAAAACACTTGACATTTGTTTTTTCTGTCCATGCAACATTGTGTTTGTCTTGGTTCTTTTTTAAAAGATATTCAAATAAATATTTAAATAAAAAAACAAAAATAAAATAAAATGATCAAAATTAAAAAAAAAAATCTTACTTACAGAATAATACGTCTGTGAATTTATGAATATATTTAATTTAATGAATTGACATAAATTTAAAGTTATTTATTACATACCATGACTTGATCTGTAGTTGTGCATTGCGCGAGCAGCTTGATTATAGTAACCGTTCATTCCTGCATTGGATTCTAAAAAATGCGGGGGGAACATGTCCCCTACATCTTCTGAGGGTAGCATCCCCACGGACTCGTATGCGTTTCTTGGGGGCTCTGCCCGGAGCCAGGCGTGCTGCTGTTCCGCTTCCATGATAATAATAAAGTCACAGAAGAAAAACTAGTCAAGTCCTTTTTTCTTGTCAGTTTTCTTTGTGTTATTCCAAGTTGGGATGGTGTATTTTATAACAGTTTATGTTTTTTGGCAGCTCTGTTATGTGATTCCACAAACTGAATATTTTTCTTCTATATTCAGAATTCTCACAATTTCTATTTAATCTGGAAAGAAATCAAAATATAATTATTATACATACAATTAATGTAATATTTTTTCAATCAAAAACATAAAATGTTATGGATTACTTAATTATCTTTTAACATTTTGATATTATCATGTTCTTGTAAAATACATAAGTCCACAACAGAAATTAAGATTAAACATTTTCTCACAATTAAAAAAATAAGTTTCTTGAGTGGAATTAAAAACACATCCTTGATGTTAAATTAAGCCTTTTTGCTAATTGCTCAAACCATATCTGATTAAATATTTAACTGATATAGATAAGAATATATGTGTCCGAAAGATGAAGTCCCCTTATCTCAAACAATCCGTTTACAAGATCACGTGTTTTTAGAAATTGTATCACAGAGCATCTTAATAAGCATCGAGTTAAAAATCACGACGTTTTCAAGCACTTTACGTAAACAAACTTACACTCCAAATGTTCCCCGAATGCATGCTTAAATGCAACTTCACACAGTAATACCACACACAAAATGCTGGTATTTTCTAATCTTATGTTTTTATCCGAACAGTTAGAGAGAATACCGTGATATGCTGATAGGATAGCTAGTTTGTTTCATGTATACGAATTCACTCAGTTTATCCATTTTTTGTCGGCGCCTTATGGTTACATATTCATTGTGTGCTGGCGAGACGAAGCTTAGCGATCCAATCACATTTGTTTAGCAGTTAAACCCCGCCTACTTTTGTTAAAATATATCAATCAGTGTAGTCATCCGTAACAGAACTGCAGCGTAAATAACCGTAAGGGGTGTGGTTTAATATTCGTCGACCCGCCTCAAGCAACAATTTACCAATAAGATGATTGGATTTTTGCCGCTGAGCATTACCAAGTATGTGATATAATTTGGGGATAATTATGATTCAAAAAAGCTGTATGTAATTTTAGTAAATTTGAAACACGCATTTTAATCTTTTTAACACAGAATCCACCAGTTTGTAGATTAAATTTATTTCAAGATTAACAAGATATTATTGAAAAATAAGATTATTATGTGATTGTAGAAAATTACAAGAAAAAATATTTGACAACGAGAATTTAAAATAAAGAAACAATAAAGAGGTTTAAAAGAACAATGCACTTAACTGTAGCTCATGTAAATTTGACGGTTATAAAAGAGAACATTTTTAAGCTTTAGGAGTGAAAGAAAGATATGTGTTTATATCTTTGTTTACATGGTAAATAGGTGAAAATGGGAATCAGATAAATGTCTACGCACACGTCCAATTACCTCGAAAGGTACAGACGATTCCTTTATCAACCAATTCCTTAGAATGATCTGTGATTCGAGTCGTTTTCTTATAACAGTGATGATACAATCGGCCAACCTCATCATTGCGAAAATGCTGATGCCTTCCGATTAACCTGCAGGGATTGATCAATCGTGATATTGCTAGGTTTTTCGTCGATATCTATTAGAAGGGTATTAACGACAAGTAGATATTGTGAGATATTTAAGAAATATCAACTCATAATCAGGAATTGTTTGTAGGAACCCGTGCCAAGGGTTATTACGGAGAAAATTTGCATTTACGAATGCAAATAAATAGTGGCCTCCGCGTATAGTCTCAGATAAACTGCTTATTTTTTCTGGATATTTTTGAGATATGATAAATCATTTCCAAATTATGTACAACATCAATACAGATAGTGATTATTTTTTTTATTAACTTCTACATTTATTCATTTTTTTAATTCATTTAATTTACAATATTTTAGGATTTATATATATTATTAAGAAATGAAATAATTCTTTAAAAAATATGTACATTTTTTTCATAATAAAGTGAAAAATTTCTTTATTCAACATAGAGAACACTGTATTCAAATAGAAACAAATACACCCGAAAAAAAATTAATCTATTCTAAATTGAGCCTGATGATTTCAAGTCGTTGACAGTAAAGAAATGAAGCGTCGTTTTTGCGGTCTAGCAGATTTCTGCCAAACGCCTCAAAAATGACATTTCATGCCCGCGTCCCCGTTCTACGAGCCTTGTCCTGGGTCTGATAGCTTCATCGTGTGTCTGACACTGACATAACAAGTTTTTACCCTTTAGTACCTGACTCTTTACTGAAATGACGTCCGATCTTAAGGAGTTAGTGAAGTGTTAGAAGCACATTTCAATTCCCTTAGACACCTGTTTTTAAGAGGGGGACAAGATCACCGTGTATGATAATCTTATCTGCTCTTGATTCATTTTTATGCTATCTTGATATTTTTTTTTTTTTTTTTTTGTACGCTGCACTTTTTGTCTTGAAGTATCATGATGTGATTTTTTTTCCAGAGAAAAATCATCTTTAAACAGACATGAGAAGTTAAGAATCGATACATTTGAGAGTTCATTTTTTTTTCTGCATGTTACTTTTTAAATTCATATTGATAGCGTGTAGTGTCTAGCTGAGCGAATGAATGAAAACAGCAGCTATAACTATAAGTGCCACATGAATTAATATTTGCATATCATATTGTAGATTTTGATTTTATTAGCTGCAGAAAAATACAGAATTTATGTAACATGGTTTATCAATGAAATTTATCAAAATTATTGTATTGCTGGATTAAGTCCATCATTTATTTAATAAAACATAATTTTATAATCAAGAAAATTCGAAAGTGTTTAATGTAAACATTGTGAAACCACAAAATAAATTATTATTCAGATTTGTTAGATTGAAATTTTAATTCTGGGGGAAAATATTGCAAACAATACATTTAAAAAAAAAAGTATGGGCTCTTTGTCCAAAAAATGAATGCCTTTAATCAGAAAAGGAAAACAGTTTTATGACTACAATAAAGGGCTATCGGATTCTTCTTTGAAACTGGTCAACTTCACAAGATTTAAAAAAATCTATCAAGCTGTGTGGAGTCTTGAGGCTCTTAATAAAGACATAAGGAAGTGAGATGAACATTGTCCACTCTCGCAGTTTTCATTAAAACACGTGTAAAATGCATGTTGTACAATACTGACCCTGTTTTACAATTCTATCAAGCCACAATCAAAATACCACGCTTTGATCATGCGCAAAACAGAATGACCAATGGCTATATAATAAAGTTGTTATAAAACTATAACGTAATTCCATTTATCTTAATGGATTCATTCTGATTAAAATAAAAACATGTCCTTCTACATGAGTAATGTGTAATAATTATTCATAACTATACATGAGATATTTTCTTTGAAAAGTGCGAAAAAAATATGCCGAAGGTGGTGATTGGTCAAATCGACGATTTCATCATTAAGCTGTTCCAAGCGTGAATTATTTCCCTGTGAGGTTTTTCTCATTATCACACGTTCTTAAAATAAATCGTCCTCACCCCCAGTGTGAAGTGTGCCTGGACTGCAGTAATTTCTGAGACTGATTATGGCCCCTCACACCTTTTTCTTGATTATGCGCTAAAACGACACGTTCCGTTTTAATTTAATGGTCGAGGTATAAGAATACAAATTGGAGTATCTCCATAGATTCCGAAGAGCAAAACTATTTGTTTTCTTACGAATAAATAAATAATTAAAAAATCTTGATTAAAAGTTTTAAGAACTAATTTCTTTCATCGGGGAAATGGAGATACATGTATTATAAAATACATGTTTGCAATTTAAGAAATCTGCTAGCTGTTAATAATGATAGATATTATGGTTATTTTCTACTATGTAATATTTATGGTAAGTGACTACAATGTATATTTATATTGAATATGAAAGATAAAAACTTTTTTTGGAGATGGATGGAGTATTAAATATAATATTGAATTCTTATAAGTTTCCTGTCCCTTAACATCAAGCTGTCAGTCGCGTCCGATTATTAACACAGGCGAGATAATTAGCAAGAATCGGTACCTAGTAGGCAAACTGCTCTTCAACACGTGGTTTTGGTGTCAAACTGAAGCACCAGCTCAAGTTTTTATGCCATTAGAAACAGCTATGGGGAGAGAAATTCAGTAATTAAAAGTAGATGTGAAAATTTTCTCGTTTAGGCAACTACACGTACACTCTCGATTTTAAAGGAGGCTCTAAACAACAATAAAAAAAATCGTCTTAGAGAAAATCATATCAATATTACATATATGTAAAAGTATACATGTACATATTGGACTTGTGTAGTTCATTCCAGCGTAGGGTACCTGCCATATTTCTCTGGGAAGAATTTCGATGACAATGAAGTATTAGTGAATAAATACCACAATTGTTTACTTACGTTAGGAAATGCATATAGAAATTGTATTCAATTAATTTATCTTAGTCTATATTTAGTATAATGTTAGGAGTTCTTTGATTGACTATAATCTGTGCCAGTCACTGTAGATTTCCTTTTATTCTATCTTACATCTAAGGGCACATCACTCTAACTGTATAAAACCACCAAGGAATAAGAACTCTTCAGTGTGCAGTGTTGAGAGCTTCCTTAAGCGATTTTTTTATTCAGTATGATTTTATTGAATTTCGACTTTAATGTGTATTTTCTTATTTTACACTGCTCAATAAAATTCATTAACTGATCAGATTTTGAAATAAACACTAATTTAGCTAGGTACACTGTATTTTTTTTTTCATTAAATTCAACCGCGAATAAACAAAATCGAAATACACTTATACACTGTACAGATGTCCGCAGTCAGAGTACCTGAGTTATAAGTAATGAATGTTAATAATCGTAAATTTAGATTATTGCTAATTAGCATAAAACATGAACATTTAACTGAAGGTCACAGGTTTGCTTTAGCAACTCAACTACTACATTTGTACAAAATAAGAAATTCTCCAGTGGTTTGCTAGAAGAGCCCAGAATTTTGGATCATGTTTACAAAACTGTCTTTAGCAAACATCACCATGCTTATAGCATGCATTTGAATTTTTTTTTCAACTTTTGACTAGTGTCGAAATGACGAAAAATAATAGAATTTACTGTCTATCCACTTATTATATCATTTCAAAACCCTCAAAAATGACCAAGAAATTTGTCTAAAGTCTAAATAAAAGGTAAACGAACTACGAAAGAAAAGTTTATATTCTGTAAATATTTTTTTTGTTTTGTTTTGAGTAGCTTTATTTGACATTACAGAGTTTCAAAACTTTCTCACAAATATCTACAAATAACCGAAGTAGTTTAAAAATCGTGTAGTTTTTGTTTAAACATTCACTACTTGTCAAGTTGTTGTAAACCACATGAATGTTTATGTGTTAGCCAATCTCTTGTAATAGGATTAACGTAATAAGCTTGATTCTGAAGCTGACATTTCGTTCTACGGTCAGAAACTCCCGCAAACGCAAATAAATATCACGTCACAAATCCAAGCATTGAAAAGACCCAGATTAGTGGCTCTGCAGGCGCTTCGACGGTGGCAGGCAGTCAAAGAATGCAGATTCTCAGAATAAAAAAAAAATTCTTTTAAAGGTTTTGTTACACCTCAACTTCATACATACATTATATTATAATCGCCCTGTTTTACGCATTAAAAAAAAAAGCTGGGTTTTCTTGATTTCTAAAAAGGGGATAAGGGGTTGGTGATGGACGTGGTAATTAATGCAATAAATACATGTATGCAATATGTACACAGCATATATATTTCTCTGCAAAA